AAATCTCAAAGATCACTAATGAAGACTGGGAAAAACACTTTGAACAACTATACCGTAATAAAGAGGAAAACACGGAGACCAAGGAGACACCCACAAATGAAGAAACACCACCAACTTGGCAGATACCGATAGAGAAAATCAAATAAACGGCAACCGCTCTAAAAAACAGAAAATCACCTGGTATAGACGAGATAACGAGCGAAATGATCAAGTATGGAGGAGATGCACTCATGGATGAATTAAAAGATTTTTACAATAAAATATTATATCTACAAAAAGTACCTTCAGAATGGAAGGACAGCATAACAATCCCAACAAAGTGTAGAACAGGTGATGACCTTTAAATATCTTGGAGCAAACATCACGAGTAACAGGAATCTAAGGGAGGAAGTAAGGAATCAAACATCAAAAGCCGCTTTAATATCGGGGTACTTACGAGACATCATCTGGAGAAACAAGCACATGAGTATAGGGAGTAAAGTCAGAATCTACAAAACGTGCGTGAGGCCAGTGATGACATACGCCGCAGAAACAAGAGCGGAAAACACAACAACCAAACGCTTGCTAAGAACAATAGAAATGCGAGTCCTAAGATCCATAACAGGACACACACTATACGATATGAAAAGGAGTGAGGAAATTAGAGATACCTGTAAGGTTTCGGATGTTGTAAGATGGACCAGAGCAAGGAGAAGAGCGTGGGGAGACCATGTAGAGAGAATGGCCGTCGACCGAATGGCAAAAATCGCCAAAGACCAAAAACCTAACAGCTCAAGACTCCCAGGAAGACCACCGAAGCGATGGTACGAAAGCTGGACATCAGCATCCCAGGACTAGGAAGTTGAAGAAAAACACAGGACTCTGAGTCCTAACGTACGAGGAAGAAGAAGAAGAAAAAGAGGAATGGAATTAATAGTGAATACATTTCATTTTAATTTGCATTTTATTGTCGGAATCAAAGTGTTCTCGGACGTTTTACCATGGTCCGAGGGTGTGGGAATGCCCCAAACGGGTTTGCGTTTAAATTAAAAAGTTGAAGCAGGACAGGACATTTATATTTAATAATAACTTCCGGGATTAAATCAAGTTTATCGAAACGAAAACCTAGAGAAATTTCAAAGCCATATCTCATCCACTTTGAGAACAATTTAACTAAATGAGGTAGCCTTTCCATTCCGGATATTTCTTAAATGTTATTCATAGAAATGCAAATTTAATCGAATAACAGGACCAAATTCTAAATTTCAATAAAAATATTTCCTTAGCTAAATGGATCTTTCATTAAATTTTATTAACTGGCAACTGCAAAGAATGGGCACAATATTCATTAGTTGCTAAATGCTGCTCAATTAATCATATCGCATTTAAACCATAGTAATTAAGCAGGATACTGTTGCAAATTTAGATGCGCTGGCTGAGCCTATTTCCGGAAAGATGACATACTGTATAATTTTACGTATATAAGACTACTACCTGTGCCACAAGCACTGCGTGCTTCCGCGAATATGTTTAAGTAATATTAACACTGCAAATAGTGTGAAGCAAAATCATAAATGGCAATGTTATGCGTCTCAAATGGAAAAAGACTCTCGTCCCCAATGTACTTGTTTTTTTTGCATGGCAACTACAAACCTATTTACCTAATGCATGGAAAATTGGAGTTATTTTCAACCAAATGGATTTTGTCGTGCTTGTTTACCTCGTAATTTAAAAACGCATGGTTAAAAATACTTATTGCGGAGTGATATGCTGATAGTCATACAGAGTATGGCAAAACGCAATGTTCTTCTCTTCTTCAATGAATGTAAAGAATTCCTTCCGAAGAACAGGCTTATTTGATTTTGTTAGAAGTCGTATTTCATCTGCTTTCCATAAAATAATTATAAAAGTAGAAAGCATATTAGTAATAATAAAGAAATATCAACCAGCACTTACTAATTTCTACATAATGTGTTTAGGCCGAAGCGACATCTCACTACCTAATGACATAACGATGGAGTTTAGTATGAAAAATGTGCTTCCCAAATACTTGATACTAAATATGAAGCGTCGGTTATGTTTGGAAATTCGAAAAATGTTTTGTCTGTGCTAAACCCCCTATTACAACAGGCCAACTTGGTTTTTGAGCGGTATTGCATGAATGTTCTTGTCCATGAGGTTTGGAACATTTTCTCCTAGGATAGATAGTATTCTAACGCGGTGTTATGGAAATCCAGTCTTACTGGTTACCCACTAAAATTCTATTGTGACCTGGCCTCTTCTATTCCTGCGTTATCCTTGAATGATCAGTAAATTTCACAAAAATTTTCGATCTAGTCTAGTAAGTAGTCTCTAAGTGATTCGAACTCCGATAAACTTCTGATCAGGGCCTCTATTTTTTCTATACGGTCTAGACATCATTGTGGTCTGATTGTGTACGCTTAAGAGCTCTGGTTGTGGCTTTATGTCGGGTAACGATGTTAATATATCTTCTTGAGGACGGCGTTGCTAGGAAACCAGTTGTGAGAGTCCATGCGTTTAATATTATTATGTGTATCTTTAATTTTAGTGCCTTTCCGATACAATAAGGAGCACTTATAGATAACCGGCTAAATTGCTCTGTAATTGTAGCCTATATTCAGAACATAAGTAGTCAACGGTACCTAGATGCTAACCGCTTTGAGATCAGCAGTTACTCCCAGAGGTTCAACTGTCTTCATGTTCCTGAAGATCACCCTGTGGTCCATTTAAGTTGCTCTTTTGCGGGCTCTGTAAATCTTGCCGCAAGCAATCCTTAGAGCATTAGCTCCCCTCGATAGAGAAGCTCATGCCCCCTACTGGCTACGTTAGCTGACATGTTGACGATATTGGTATAAGGCGGAATACATCCAGTGCATTTTCTTCGATGATAGTTACCCGGTTTTACCAAATGTCCGGTTACAGGTCCACAACGGCCTAGTCGTCTTATTTGATTTTTCTTCCCGGTAGAACATACATTTTCTATCTAGGGGTACTTCAAGATTTTTAGCAATGTTTGCCAATTATACCCCGGAATGGCTATGGCTACTCGGGTTTTCACGTGCACCAAGAACTATTCTAAATTGGAGCATGTTTTGCATCCAGTCCACTCTACATTCAGGAATGCCACCCAGCTAATCTTTTTACACTGTAGAGGGTAAGCAAATTTTGAAGTTTCAATGAAAATCTCGATGACTTAAGGAGATAACTTAAAAAGTGACTCCCCATCCTTGTTTTTTGTGCTAAACTCAATTGTAGGAACAAAATTTGGATAGTGTCTTTTGTTTCCGAGCTGTAAACAAATACCATATTCTGTTCATTTTCGTTGCAAAAAACTAGCTATGTATGCTTTAAGTATCATCATTCATTTTTGAAGTTATAACACAAACATTTATATTTTTATGTCATACATGGTCTACGGCTTAGATAAATATATATTTTGTCCTGAATAATAATATCGTAGGTGCGGTCAATTAGGAAGGTTGATTATTAAGACCTGAGATTAAGACACACCACGAAATAAAACTAATTCGTCACGGGTTCTGGATATCAATAGTACGGTGCGGAGTTAATTCAGACCACCAATGTACATTCTCTTCCATTGTTTATTAAACATTTCCGTACTACGCATACGATACGATTCGATTCATACGATACGGTTGATCGGACGAAATAGTGTTATTTTAAAGTAGGGGATTTTAGTTTGTTAAGAGTACATCCGTTGGATACACTTGCCAATACCTAAGATATCTTAAAGCATCCGACTCAGCTTCAAGTGGACGACTTGAAATCGACGGATGTAAGCTGCGATTCTAATGGCATTCACTGTAACTTTTTGTTTGCTTCCAATATTGAATTTTTTTGCTGGATTTAATAAATGAGCCGGGATCTATGAGACTTTTTATTCTTCTCACACAAGCCTGTAAAAGTAAGATGCATTTTCAGAATTGACCGCACATATTATATATGGTTGAACCCGGAAAAAATATCTATTTATCTAGGCTCTGAGCCTATCTATGATGATATTTTTATAAAATATGATTATTTTTAAAAAATTAATGATAATTTTTTTTTCAATTATTCATCAAAAAACACAGCCATCTTAATGTGACGGATATAGACAGAACCGAATTTTCGCTTATAGTTGGAAACCAACTTACGTCCTTGAGTTTAGCACAAAAAAAACATCGAAAAAGGAGGGTTTATTTCTTCTCTCTCCCTTTCCCTTCTCCTTAAGTTATAGAGATTGCCATTTAAAACATCGACATTTGTTCATCCCGTACACATGCATCATAATGTAAATTTATAATATATGTAACTGCATTTTTGCTTCCATGCGCTCATTGTCTTGACATTTCCGCCAATGCTCTATCTGCCTCTATTACATTTTGTGTTATGTTAACATGCACCAAGTCAGATCTGGACGACCCATAGGTCTAGATTTTGTATAAGCAGTGAAATAAAAAAATTGTTGATATACTTGTGTTATGTTTCTCAATACATTTATTTAATTATTGTTTATATGACCCTACAGATAAAAACTGTCGACTTAACTCTCTTCATTATTCTACCAAAGCTTGGGTAATTCAAGCGGGTACTGTATATTTCAACCTTCTCTTTGCACTTAAATTTTAGCAATTTTATTAAGCCTTAGAATATTGTATGCTATTTCAAATTATGCGTAAACACAAACAATAGGTGCCTATTTGTTCCAGAATATATTTTTTGCTTTACTCAAGTATAAGCAATTTTTTGTGATCTTGGTCAATCCAATTCAAATAATGCAAACGAACTTCACACTCAGATGCTCCTTCTAAATGGCGTGGCCGTGGCCAAACATCTCAGGTACCTATTAATTGATGATCTGATAAAGCTATAAAACAACTCACACTCGAAAGGTTCTTTTAGTAACCGGTCAGGTTAAACAAAGCTTAATTCGAGACGGATTTTTAATAACGCAAATTTTCCTTTGATGTGTGTAAATTAATGAATTGTAAGTAGTTCAAATCTTATAATATCATTTGAATATTATACGATTGAACGTGAAAATGATTCTTTGTTCATGTGGAAATTACTTATCCTGTAAATCTTCTCGCTTATTGAAAATACAACAAACTTAAGTAGACCTTAGATACTTTTTCGTTATTTTTTTTATTCTTTTTCTATTGGTCTTCAGTATGCTTGTTGAGCTAACTCATTTTCCAGTCCTTTCATATTTGTGTGCGGGCAACATGAAAATGTTCGTATCGTTATCAATCTTGATGTGTTTGGTGCACAAGACTGTTACTCAGCAGCCACCACATATAGTGTTTGTTGTTGTGGATGACTTGGTAAGCTAACTCAGATTACAAGTTTTTGTTAATTTTCTTTATTGCTTTAAGTTTGACCTAATTTATACCGGATGTTTTATAAATCAAAAATATTTTGATTTATTTTCCTGACTGCGTGTAATTGTTATTATAGATATTACTTTCCTTCCTAGGTTTCAGTCAAAGAGTAAAAAAAAAAAAATTATATCGTTTATTTCATATGACGCTTCGGCGAGACAGCGCCATAATCAGATTTAAAATTTAACATAAAACTACAAACACCAATTTACAATTAAAATATGTTGCACAAAAATTATAATTTATAAAGCTTTAAAACATTCATTAGTTCTTAAGGGAAAAATCTTCTTGGAGAGCAAAACATCTGAAAAACTTACCTCATAATTGGGAAAAATGAGATTCTTTTAGGTTTTGGAACCTGACATTTGTGTGAATTATTCCTCGCAAATGTAGACAATATATAAAACCAAACTTAATCAATTTCAAAAGATCCGCTATTCAAAAAAATGGCTTTGTTTTATTTTTGTCCGCATCTAAAAATTAAAAAACCCGCATCTAAAAATTTTACAGTTTGCTTCATTTTTTCCTGTGCTTTCGAATGCGTGTAAAATAACTGAAACTGAACGAAATAATCGAGCATGGCGTAATACGGTTTTCATCTCAAAATGGAAAGTGATTTAAGGGGACGTTTGGTTTGTATTTTGTTATCTTTTTAATTTAAACAATACGTTATTCTCTTTAACTTATTAATTGCAATCAAATCTTCTAAGGCTCCAAATATTACAAATTTTACAGTTTCTACTTCGTTTCGTTTAAATGCTTGCAGTGCTCAATTAACAACACGGTACCCGAAGAACAAAATAAAATGTATTCAACTTCTAAAGATGACGAATTTTTTTTATGTTATGTTAAATTTTGAATACTAACAATTTAAATATTACTAAAATTTGTTTGGTTAAACTCTGCTTGCTTTACAGTCTCATTATGCCTAATTATCCGATTTGATTACGCTAAAATTAATGCCACAACCTCTGTTTTCACACATATTTGTGTTACAACATATTTCAAGTAGACCATCTAATAACGGATTTTGAAAATTTCTGTGGGTCAATTTTGACAAATAATTTAAAGAAAATAAAATGAAGCACAAAAATAAATAAGGATAAAAAATCTAATAACGGCTCAACGGCAGGATGAACTCTGAATTCATTAATACTTCTCAGTCGAATTACGTGATAATTTTACACATTTGCCTCAGAAGTTAAGGGAATCCAGTAACATAAATCAATCAACATAATATTTTTTGCTCTCGCTGACTATGTTACAACAAACAAATATGAACCTTTACTGCAAATTTACCAAAGATGCAAAGCAAAATCAAAATGAGCCAAGTTTAGCTGAGCGAATAACGAGTTGTTAATTATAGTACTTACGAGTACTTAATTATATTTCAAAAAAATGTAACTAGCTTTTAAACGAACTCCGCTATAATTAAAAACGCTATTTTTTCAAGTACTTAGCGTTACCTCACGAAGCTTTGAAAATGTATGATATTTACATATTCCTAGACAACTCAATATAGTGTAAAACATCCACTCAATTCAGTGCTACATTTGAATAATTATATTTCTGAGACAATCCCCCGAAAACGTAAGTTTGTAAGTTTTGAAATTGATTAAGTATGTTAGAATATCTCATATTTTCTCAAAATACCCGATGTGGATTAATAAAATAACTTAAATTAAATAATATAATTTTGTCTAACAACATACGGATTATCTTTGCATTTGAGGAAACGTACTGTATTCGGTAGAAACCAAGAACGCTGTATGGGTTAAATGCTGCACTGAATGCAAATTGCAACGGACGGAATTAATTAAAATTTGTTAACTCGAATAGTTTTGACCCTTTCAAGCAAATTCCCATTTAACGACTTTAAATCTGTCGTTATTATATTTTTTAAAGAAATTCGAATAAATCATTAATATCTTCCATAGTAAAATTTCATCCATGTTATTGAATTGAATGTATACTTTTATTTATATTTAGAATAAAATTAGCTAAAGTATTAACTGGCAGCTCATGGTCATGGTTGCGACGGAATTTCCCATTGCATGTCTTGTGTTAGTAAAATCATCATGCGAGCTAATGATTATGTTTCCTTTTTTACTTTATTTACAGGTAAGATAATGTTGAGTAAATTAGGTGGATTGCAACATTAGTTCACAGGCAATATATTAAACATATCTAGACACTAAGTGACTTTCTATTAGGTCTTTGGCACGCATTAACAGTTTAAATATTGTGAAATGTACGTTCTTAAAGAATCTTGAACTTACGCGGTGCTTCAATCTCAATTAGAAGAAGAAGTTTTTAAGTTAATAAACACGTAGTAACATTTTTTTTGAAAATCTTGACGGTTTAGAATCGCTCAGTAACGTACTTTGTTTTGTACATCATGCCATGGTCCATTTTAATATTCGAAATTTGACTGATGATGGTATTCAAAGACTGGCTGCTAAATATTTACATTCCTTGAAATTGTCGTTTCTGCGAGTTGCATTTATTAATAACATAATGACTTTAATAATTAATCTGGATTTATATTGTCAGGGTTGGAATGACGTTGGATTTCATGGAAGTAATCAAATTCCTACCCCCAACATCGACGTTCTGGCCTACAATGGCATAATTTTGAACAGTCATTATGTTCAATCTTACAGCACTCCTACCAGAGCCGCTCTACTTACAGGAAAATTTCCTATGCGATTAGGTAAGGGCTGATTAAATCGACAGATCGTAAAGGGATGAAAAATAATTGAAACAAAATTATTCTGTTTGAGATGGGTGATCAAGTGTTCTAATAGGAGTAAATAATTCTCTTTGGGATTTAAAAAAATATGTTTTATTGCAAATACATCATACATTTATAGGCATGCAGGGTCCAAGTATATCAGCTGCGGAAAAGAAAGCTCTGCCAGAACAGAAAATTCTACCGGACTATCTCAAAGTAAGTATATAGGTACTAAAAGAGCTAACGAAATTTACGTTTTGGAGATTGTCAGATTCCCTGATCTGCTAACGAATTGTATATTTCAACAAATATGTGTTATCTGCGTAATCAATCAAATCATAACCATAATGTACAAAGTCATCAGCAAGCAATAAGCAATAACAATTTCGGGACTGTGTACTTAACTGAATTGATAGGTAATATCATATTAGGAAAGTGGGCATAAATCATATTAGAAAGGAAGTGCGAAAGAATAATTTGCTTGTTATTGTGTTTGCTACTGGCTGGCAATTTTAATAAACCACATACATTTATTGCAAACTTTTGGAGTTGTCCACAGTGTTACTTATCGATGCGAAAAATATAAATTTGATCAGAAACTAATAATCAAATTGCCTCCTGATTATAATCTATCACCAAGCTACTAATTGAACTTTCATTTCAAGTTAACTATGTTTTATAACCTCTGCCATCTTTGCGAATCCTATTTAGTGAAAGTAGGGTGGGTTAACCCACCAAGCATATTAAAAAAGCTGTACTACTTCATTAATTTTCATTCCCTATAGCTTAGTCTTTACAATTACCAAGATCGAATGGCCAAAGTGTGATGTTCCCTTTTCACATTTTTCGACATACACATCCATGTAATGATAAGATTTAGACCCTTTCTGATGTCGATCAGACCGGAACAGACAACTAACAAACTTGTTTGTTAGTTAAGTCATGAATCAACCATTCAATAATAATGTAAACATTAACTTAGGTAATTAAAAAGTAATTTACTTTTATTACTTAGCTCTTCAGCAATATTATTCATATAATATAATATTGCTAAAAAAAGATCAAATTAAGTTTCTATTACTCAACCGATTTCTAATTTGTAAAAAAATGTATAAGATCAATTGTGAAAAATAAATGAAATGATCTCCTACTGAGGTAGTAAACAACGAAGTATACTTCGGACAGATTAGTTTGTCTTCTGAACTCGTTTGTTGAAACCTGTTAAGTAATACAAACAGAAAAACCGGCATTGTGGAAATTTGAATGGCTGTTGATGAATATGTGGTAGAAATAGGAATACATCCTTGGCATGAATTTATACATTATATTAATTGCCTTAGGTAGGTTGTCCCGAAAAATGTGACCATGCTCTCGGATTCATATACTGGGTGTCAAAATTATGACAAAGGACTTATGGAAAAAAATCTACACCTTTTCGTACCAGGATCTAGCTTTTAACAGACGCCACAAGAAAGTTTATATTAAGTAATTTTTAAAGTACTTTGAAGTGATTAAATAAGCCTTTTCCATAAAAGTCACGATTCAATTCCTAAGGTTGATTATTGCAGAAAATTAATTTTGAAGCAGATTAACAATAAGAATTTACAATTTCAAATTTACAAACATACAAAAATTATAAACGAATCTTTCTTTCAAATTGTAAATTTTGAAGTCTGTATTTTTCCATTACTGTTGAATTTAAGGAGAAAGCGTTGCAAACAATCATGCACGTATGAAGTCTACAAGCTGGTTGGTCTTCGGTGACACTCTTTTCAGGGGCATACTAGTATCATCATATTAAAAAATATAAAATTAAAGCAAGTATTTTAAAAGTTATTTAGATAATCAAAATCGATCTTCAGAGACTACCTATAAATTAGGTCACCTTTAGTCATGCTGTTTTGACACTCTGTACATCCTATATCCCAAATTAGGTTTAATGTTATGTAGGCAGTCCTCAAAAATGCAAGCATAGGTACTATCAAAACATTTTTACCTAAAAAAGTCTATAAAGTATAATACAACTTKCTTATTTTATCCGTAAATAGATAATTGTTGTAGCAAGGTTGGATGGGACTTTCAATTGCTAGTTTGCGCCACCCTAGTTTTCGAAAAATATCAATTTTATACAAAAAAAATGTCAAAAGCAAGTGTTTACGGAAGAAGCCATATCAAATTAACGCAAATAACCACAACACAAACCCCTTTTGAAGTATGGCGGTGCATGCAGCGTACAAACATTGATATAAAAACTGGCGAAAATTCAGTTTTTCCTCAATGACACCCACAAACTTTTTTGGTCCTGTCTCAAAAATTTCTTATGATAATAAGCAATGAAACTAAACATGACAAAAACATAGTAGGTGCCTTCAAAAAAACGATTTTTTAAATATTTATTATATCAATCGATAAACTTTCCTCTCCCAAATATTAACTTGTTATTGCATAACTTTTTTCGTAGGATCACTCGTTTCCGAAATATTTAAATGTTTCAATAAAAACTAAGAGTACTAACTCTGTATATCAAAAACTAAGAGATAAGTTAACAAAAGGAGGGTGGCTCAAACTCGGAATTGGACAGCCAATCCAATCATGCTAAAAAAATTAGGACTTTACATTTAAAATAGGAAAGTTTGGTTATACTTTTCATACACCCTGTACAGCTGAAGGGCTAAATGTATTTTACATTGTTTCGGCACGACCCGTTATTACCGGAAACCAAATTTGAAGATACCGCAACAACTGTAAGTAGGAAAACCTCTAATGCACGGTCAACGTAAATCCCCCTGTATAGGTAAAAATATACACAAAGGCCATCAAAATTTTAAATAGCCAACAAACATTATTGCTTGCAGAAATTCTCCTACTATAGGGCGCATTTTCTTAAGGAAATAAAACTTCTTGAACGAAAGGTTTCGTACAGAAAGCTCGTCGTAAACATTGCTTAAGAACTTCTTGGCAAACAAATAATTCATTTTCCGCAGATATACAATAGGTCGTTTTCATTGTATCAAAAATTCCTACAAACGGAACATTAATGTATGGTGATATATAATATGAAAGATTAAATAAGTTTATACTATCTATATATTGCTATTTTGTAAAATATTTAATAAACAAATTCAGCTAAAATTCAAATTATTCATGTCTCTGGTCATATAAATGGCGGATTGTTTACGTTCTGTGCATAGTGTTTAGTTCTGTGGTTGTGTTTCATTAATTATTTTGTGGATTTAAATAATTTGTAGTTTGTGTTAAACTAAAAAATGACTTCAGAAGGATTCCTTAAAGCGTCAGCAAACAATTTACTATGTGTACATATTTTTATGCTTACCAAGTTTTTAAAAAACGACGAATGCTTTAATTCAGCTGAATTTAAGGGTGTCAAAGCAGCAGCGTAAGTAAAAATCCGTAAATTCATTATTAGTTACTCTCTCCTTAATATAATACTCTGTCTGTATTGATATAATCTGTAATATACTAATCTGCCTCATCATTAGCTTTTTGTTCGTACTTTCATTTAAATGATCCTCGCAACAAAAAGAACATTGATTTAGACTTAGGAACATCACGTCTAGCTGCGTTGAACCATAAAACTTTACGTGCATAATCATGGGAAACGGTTAAAAAGAGTTTGTTTGGAGCACTTATTGAGGTATTCTTGCATCCTGGCACAAAACACCACTTATTTTGTGATCCATACATGTCACTATTTTCCATTATGCAAGATAATAATAATAATCAATGAAATGATGATAATCACAATAACTTACATAATAAAACAAAGCTGCGAAAACAACAAAATAAACACGAAACACTATGTTGATATGACCTGCTACGTCACAATCGGGATGGCAACCGACGATACGGATTCGACGTTTTTGGCGAAAAATATCTGATTTTAATTTAAATTCGCTTTTAAACTATTATGGACACTTTTTTAGCAAAAAAAATTATATCAGTGTAATGTTTGCCATAACTACTTTCTATATATCAACATTAAAAGAAAAGTGAAAACACCCTATTGTATATTATATTATATTATAGCCCTAATTAGAAAAGAACTACATTATTGTGAATTGTGTTGCGAACATAACGGCGTTTGATATTGTTAGCGAGTATTCCGCCAAACGTCAACGTCCTACGTTATTAGTATTTTAACAAACTTGTTTCATCAAAAAAAGTATTTTTTAATTAGTAATTTTATGCAATATTTATTAGTTAACATTTCTTTTAAGACACACTCTTATTAGAGGCACTGTTAGAAATAAATAGGCACATAGATACCAATTACCTTCTCACTTCAAAATTAGTAAAACTAAACTATTACATTGTAGTTACTTCTGTACTATGCGAAATATTGTTTTCCAAAGCGCGTGCTATCATAAACCAGCGAAGAACGAGACTTAGTAAATAGCATCCGCAAAAAAATTTATTCTTAAATATTAATTCAGTTTTACATGAAGGTTGGATTTTTAAACATTTTTGCATGCATATATTTTATTTAATCCATTCTACTTTATTGTCATTTTTTCTTCTTTAATTTTAAATATTTTCAGTTTACCAATGTTAGGAATAGAAAAAAACCTAAATCATTATTTATCAGCACTATTTCGACCATCATCATCATTGCAAATTTTTAATGAAAAATTGTAAAAGTAACATGCTATTTTTGGAACCTAATGTCAAAATGAAACTGCAACGTTTTAACCTGTTCCAGAAAAAGTAAATCGAATTAAAGCATTTCAATTTTAATGTAATAATAAACTACCATGCTTTGCAAATGACTGCGACTATCTATCAAGACTCGAATCGATGGCAGATATTAATTTATCAAATCAAACTTGATTCAAAAAAGTAATGAAGAAAAAGATCTATCCAAAATTAGGAGCCATGAAAATTTGAAATCGTTGTGGGTGCTTTTAATATTATGTTAGCAAAATATATTGGTATGTTTCATTCACGTATTGTAATTATTGCCATTACATCTTTCAGGAAGTAGGCTATGAAACTCACTTAGTAGGAAAATGGCATTTGGGACAAAGCAGATGGAACGAAACACCAACTTTTAGAGGCTTTGACCACCATTTCGGGTTCTATAACTCTTACACCAGTTATTACGATTATCTTTCCACGTGGACAGTAAGTTTGTATGATATAGTTCTATCTTACGGTGATAATAATGTCATGCTCCTGTCTGTGGATTATTTCAACAACGTACCATTTCCTCATAATCCGTTCAAGTTCTTACTAAGTTACAACTCATAGCAATACTCTAACCTGCCAGATTTGTTCCAATAACTTCAACAGACAGTCATATATACCTGTTCCGAAAGATCAGTATGTTTAAGTATTACATAATTATCAAAAGGAGTATTTGAATTTCAAAAACATATTGCAGAATATTTAATTAAATTATTAATTTATATATTTTTCATATTTCAATACCAACCAATACCCCTAGAATTCAGTTGATTTATAACTGAGCAAACTTAAAACGGTTTTGAGTTTTTGGTTGTTAACTTCACACTTAGATTTTGAATTTTAATAGGCAAAAGGTGTACCAACGGTTCGGATGAACTAAACTTGCTGAGTTCAATGCCTTTTCACAAGTCAAATCTTAGTTGATTGAAAAATCCGAGATGTTTCAACATTAATATGCGATTTTATATCATGTCCAGTTTTCCATACGTAGATACCACTTAGGAAAGAAAACAATTCGTCTAAAAAATATGTCGGTTCAATTACAATGCATAGGATTGAATTATTACTGTTGGCATACTAATAAATAGTTCGCATTAACCATTTTGGCTCTAAGAGAAAACTAAATTCGAGACTCACTACCATTATCCAAGTAACAACATCAAATGCATGACGCCAATTTTTAATCCCAAGGTAATTGACTTTTACTGCTCCCAAATTTTAGTTCCTATTTATAATTAAGATATTGAGTTTAAACTATAATGGAAAAATGTAAATGAGACAATTCCTTCAACTTTCTTAAAAGCGTGTTGCAAATATTGAATGCTATAAGCTAAGTGTACCTCACAATTGCTGTTATTTTTTAGTTTAACGATCATGATTACACCGGGTTTGATTTGCGCAAGGATGGACTACCAATGTTTGAAGAAACGGGAAAATATGCTACTGATCTGTTCACAGACTATACTGTTGAAACGATATTAAATCACGACGGGGCAAAGCCTTTATTCGTGATGTTGTCTCATTTAGGAGTTCATACTGCCAATAAAGGAAAGCCACTAGAAGCTCCTCAAGAAGCAATTAATAAGTTTAAGCATATTGCTGATGCGAACAGAAGGACATATGCTGGTGAGTCCATTAAATCACTTTCAACTAATTAATAGAGAACCGTATTACAAGTATTTTCATTTTGCAGAGAATAATAGTTGGCTCAAACTTCAATTTCCTTATTGGACTCGAACTTTATTAACTCGTTACTTTTATTTGTTAAATGATGCCCATTTAGGTCTGAGTTTATCGGTCACTAGATGGTGGCAAAAATAAGACACTGTTTTTCTTGGGAGAACGTTTTGACTATATTTAAGCCATCTTAGGGCTCAATAAAGTTAGTGCAATATTTGCACCAAATGTACAAAAAGGTCAGACCTTACCGTTAGGGTTAGGCGAATTTTTGTATGTTTCACCGATAGAACCAAACATGAATAGGCATCATTTACCAATTGCGATCACGGTAACAGTGTCTCGTATCACCCTCGTTCTGTGTGATCTCATATCTCTACGGATGGCTTTCTTTACAGATTTGTTCAGTAATTTGTGCTAAGTGTTCAAGTTCATATAAATTAATACAATACGCTTTTATTATTTTTTAGCGATGGTATCTAAAATTGATGACAGTCTTGGTGCAATTATAGGAGCTCTGAATAAGAAGAATATGCTGCAGAACACAATCATAGCATTTATCAGTGACAACGGAGCACCCACCATAGGTATATCTATCTTACATGTTGACCTTCCAAACCATTATTTTTAATAGGCACTCGCTTGCTATCGTTATTTGAATATCAAGTGCAAAAACTTAAAATCTACCGACAACAACACTGTACTTTTATATGTTGAGCTCTGAAGATTCTAGTGTGCTATACTACCTGCATATCGATCATCTTTTTTTAGAAGATTTAATGATCATCAGCATCATAATCATCTCTAAAAAAGGCATTTGTTGGCGTATTCTAAAAATATTTTGTTCTACGATAATTTCCAAAAAACGCTTTTTTTTCAAAATTGGACATACGAAGTTGCTCATTTCAACCTCTATTGTAGATCAGTCTACAATAAACGTTCAAAACGACTTACTCCTGGATACAAATATTCAATCTTCTCATTATTGCCTGCCGATCTGTTTCAAACAAACCAGAATCATTCCTGATTGAGATACACCCCAGAATTATCCGCTTTCGCAATTCTACATTGTAACAACATGATAGTAAATATTTAAATGTCTTTGCATTTTATTCTTTGCTGTTCTAAAATAATTTCCATAAAACATGCCAAGGTTAATACTCGAATAGTAAACTACCGTCGTTCGGGGTGAAGTCGGATGATTCTTTCAGTTCTTTGTAAATAAAAAGTATAATTTTGAAAGGAAAATTTCTAGTAAGATAGTTTAGAGTCTTCCCTGCCTACTTTCGATTTCCACAATAAAAAAAATGAAGTATTAAGTTCCTCCGAATTTTTTTTTAAAAAACGGTGTCTGCTTTCACCCCTATGTGTGGGGTAAAAGCGGGCTTTATTTGGGGTAAAAGCGGGCTTAAAAGCTTTATTAAGCGTTAAAAATGGTCTTACTGGTAAATGTGTTCTTGTTCTTATTAGTTTATCTTCTTCTTGTGAAATTAGACACAGTCCGACATGTATCCTCGTTTGTATTCCTTATTTTAGATCGCGTGAGGTGGATTTTAGAATTTTATAATTTTCAGCAGCTTGTTTCGAACTTTTTCTGCTTTGTCGAATATCTTCGAGGACCCTAGCGAGGTTTTCTTCATTGTAGGTCTTCAAATTTATACCGATTTTCTTTTTATACTGCGTAACCATGATGTTCGCTTTCATCTCTATAAAATTACTTTTTTTACTAAAACGCAATTATTTAAGACAAAACGCAAGATTGTCTAATAAAATTGCCATGGGTTTAGTAACAATAGAGCACATCAGAAAAAAATAAATTACTTGAATTTTTTCTTTTTAGTATTTTCTTGTGTGCAACAGTCTATAGTTTTCAATTTCAAAGAATAAAATACAATTCATGAAATCCTCAATCTGCGTTTTACTTCGAATTTATCCAGCGAGGTTTTCTACTATTGACAATAGGAACTTAACTGACGGGAATATGAGGGTTGGGTAATTTTTACGCGGTGCATCAAATGATCTTGACGAAAATATTGACCAAAAAATTGTACATCTGAAACTGATCTGAAATGAACACAAACCCTGTTTCATCTAAAATAAATGTTTGTTATTCGTTTTCAGCGGACGGTCAACTATTCAGTGTGTCTATGCGGATGGTTGGATTAAGTTTCCTTTTATATTTTTTAATGTTTATATACTTTTGTTTTCTGTCCGATTGACTTTTATTTAAACCTGGCTAAATGTTTTTATGTGTCATTGGCTTTGTTCATATATGTATTTTAATTTTTTTGTCACATTAAATAATTGGCCTAATTTATTACTATTATGCTCAGGGAAACACACTGGGATAACCTTTCTGCCTAATTACAATGCACATTTACTTTTCAGGTGATTTTCCGAATTGGGGAAGTAACTTTCCATTACGCGGATTGAAAGATACATTATTTGAAGGAGGGATTCGTAGTGTGGCATTTATTTGGAGCCCCTTATTGGTGCAAAGTGCCAGAGTTTCCACAGACCTGATGCACGTCACCGATTGGCTTCCAACTTTATTTACTGCAGCCGGTGGCGACATTAGCATTCTGGATCCAGAGATGGATGGTATTGATGTTTGGTCAAGCTTGGTGAGGAAATAATTAATTGAACTCATATTATGGATTTTGTCAATATTGAATTTGATACTATACATATACCTACTGAAACATTTTAGGTTTACGATTTGCCTTCTCCCAGAAACGACATATTAATCAACATTGACGAGAAAACAAGAAATGCAGCCCTACGGTTCTACAATTGGAAATTGATTGTCGGTGAGTCTAATTTTTTCTATATATTTGTAATAAAATATGTAATTTCCCTATGCGGCGTATTTACTAAATAGTAGGGGAGGCAGCGACACAAATTTCCGGGTCATTTTCTCCCGCTTTATTTTTTGCACATGAGATATGCATATGATGTGGAACTTTAATATGAATGTCTTCCATTGCAGCCTTGCGACATGAGCTTAAGCTTTAAGCTTAAGTAGGAGGGTTGCGATTCTCGCCAAAAATGAAACCATAGTCTCTCAGATGAAACTTACCTTACCCATAGATTTCTGATTTATTTTCCTGACTGCGTGTATTTGTTATGATATTATAATCTTTCCTGGGTCTCAGTCAAAGTGTGAAGTAAAAATTTTGAAATATCGTTTATTTCATTACGTTTTGGCGGGACAACAGCGCCATCATCAGATTTATTTTACTTCACACTTTGACTGAGACCCAGCAAAGATAATAATATCTACTCATAGATTTGAACCTAAAATGAATAAAAATATCCTCTTCCATCTGTATTTCACAACAAACCACGTCTTCCACCCCCATCAATACCCCCAAAAAAATAGAAAAAAAAAATTCATAGCCTCTCAAGTGAAATTAATTGTGATGGCTAATTTATATAATTTGAATGATAAGTCTTCAATGTCAGAGTTACGGATTTCATCTTCTTCGTCCGATAGATCTTCAGCGCATTGATTGTTTTCTTTATCTGTCAATATAAAAAATCTATAATTATTTGTAGATACTTGTTGGTTCTTGATAATACCTTGGTTTTTTTCTGAGTTTATTGCCATATCATCAATCGATTTTGGCAGTTAATCTCCATCGAACCGTTGAAAAATATACTTATTTTCCGATTCCTGCCAACCATAGTCGTTGGGAGATTCGCAGGCGTCCAAAGATGTGCAATAAATGCTGTTCTTTTAACATGAAATAAGTATACGTTTTCTGTTTAAAAAATATCGTAGAACGAAACATTTATCTAATGATTACTTGATTGGCGATATCCAAGATGTTTATCCTCCTATGTGATCTGATGCCTTCTGATTTGCGACTATTTTAGGACACCTGGACATTTTATTGTGTCATGAAATGGCAGGAATGTATAGTATGGGTGCTATACGTGAACTGTGCCTCTAAGTTGCGGCAACATTTACCTCCTTGTTCAAAGACTTAATATATATTGTACCGTGGATGACCGAGTATCAAACTCTTTTTTCAGCTTACAACTTTTATTCCACTCGGTATCGCTTTAAATACGGAACAGGAACAAACTAACTTCAAAATTACCGTCAACTTCACAAACAATAACAATAACAGACGGAAAGCTCGCTCTTCCGACTCGCGGGTTTAACCTTCTTCTGCACTCCGTCGCTGCTGTCACTTCACTTCCCCTGTGTGGTTAAATGGGGCCCAAATGGGGCTCCCATTTACTGAAATACCATCAATTTCGATCCCCCCATTCCAAACGTGAGTACCCCAGGCCATTTCCGTTACAATATGTTGTTGCTTCACCACTACATTCGCTGTTTTTTTGCGTGTAGTTTCTTTAATACTAGGCAAAGCACTGAGATCCGGGGATCTGGCGGAATATAAATCGGGGCTAATCCCTATCTAACGCCGCAGGTTACCTAACAGCCAACTTGGCCCAGGTCTAGTACCCGTGGAAAAATTTAAAAACAAATCAATATAGTTTAGATTTGATACATCCTGGTATATGGCATGATTTACGAATGTCCTTCTTTGTTTGATTAACTGTACAAGCACACGTTTTATTGTGTGCCATCTGCTTCTAAAAGACATGTGAACAACGTTTGCTGTAAAGTATGTTTATTAGTTATTCTCGCAGGATTGGGTTGTGGGTTTAGCCTCGGATTGTTTCACTCCACTTTATGGGTTCAGGGGCACGACTTAGGGGAAATTATGCGTGGGCACTCACTTTAACACATATATTGCTATCTTACAAGAAAAGGGTAAAAGTTATAAGCTGAGGGCGGATTTTGTATCTCGTTGGGATTCGTGCGTGTGCGTCTCGGTAGCTCACCAGGATGAACTCCCTCTTGATGGGACTGTCATTCATGTCGTGAATGTTACCCAGTGGCGGACATTCGATGGTGTTACAGTATATAACTTTGCAGGCATATTTAATCTTTTGATGGTTTATAAATGAAGCGAAATGTGTACGCACTTATAAGAAATTTGCATTTCCTATTATCTGAGCGACCTGAAAATTCGAATAATTTTTAACCAAGAATCACTCATAAAGGACATGATTTTTCAAGTGGCATACGATTAAGTAAATTTCTTGAATTAATTTTTTTCAGGTACAAGCCTCAATGGCTCTTTTAATGAGTACTATGGGAATATTGTTATGGATGATATCGAAACACAGCAATATAACACTTCGGCAATACATGACAGTCCGGCTGGATCCATAATTAATACGATACACTACACTCCACTTAGCGAAGAAGAGTATGAGGGATTGAGGAGATTATCAGTGGTAAAATGTACAGCAGCAAAGAAAAATCCTTGTGATCCAGCTTGTAAGGGAACAATTTTAAAATAATAAATGCCGAAATATACGTTTCTAATTATTTCAGCTGGTGCTGTTTGCCTTTATGACATTCCCAGCGATCCATGTGAAGAAAACGATTTGGCAAAATATTTTCCTAGTGTTGTAAGAAGAATGAAACGTGCTTTGGTAGATTACAGGAAGGGACTAGTGGCCCAAATTGAAGGCGATATAGACATAGAAAATGCTGATCCAAAACTATTTAAATACACTTGGAACCCTTGGTTGGATTGTAATGATGTCGCTTGTCAGATTTCTTGAAAATTTCGAAGAATAAATCATGATAGCAATGCTATAGTTTAAACTTAAAGAGAGGTTGCTAATTAGAAAATATACCTAACTACAAACATGATCATATTTTATTTAGTTTTAAATTAGTACAAATTAATGAAAATAAATAATATGTGTATGAAAAACATTAAACTACTAATAGAAAATGTATATAAGTTTCTTAAACACTGGAATTAAAATTCGAACTAAACAACATCTTCCGTTGGCGTTGTGCCTTTTCGTACAATATAAAATACATGTTTTCTGCCAAAATATCCCCACATGACGGCAGTGATCTCTAATAAAGCATTAACAGGAATAACTGCTACAGATCCAATAAGGCACAGAAAATATTTAAATACCCCGTACCTTTTGAGATTAAATGATTTAAGGGCTCCAAAGATAAACATGTAAATGTTTACTGCTCCCACGAAACTCATGAGACTATCCAAAACAAGAAAACTAGGCAGAGGATATAAAGGAACTAATATAATATTGGAAACTGCCAGTGGTATGGTAACCCACGCATAACATGACAATGTTAGCAATATTTTACATTTCCAGGGTAGAGCCTTGGAATGCACAACAAGTAAGATGCCTTGTAGCCATCGCTTCCTCTGCTGAACCAGGTCCTTTAAGGTGAATGGAGACTTTTCCCACATTTCTCCTTCGATAAAGTTAAAGGAATAGCCTTCGCTGAATGCTTTGATTGCGAAGAAACAATCTTCTGCTATTGAACCATCGGGGCCGTTGTCGAAACTTACTGCTTTTTCTGTTCCATACTTGAAAATAAAAGGGCTATGAGGACTTTTACGGCCGTTTAAAATATCAGTTTAAAATATCAATTATCATTGGTAAAATTCTGTTTTTACCTGTGTTACCACGTACGAGCCTTTGAAGCTAAACAATGGTTTATGAAACATTTTAAATTGAAATTGTAATTTGCCCATGTCATCAGCTACTCTGAAACCGTCCGCTAAAGTAGTAAACCAGTTTACAATTTCCTCATTGGCATATGTTATTAAACCTTGGCCAATATCATATTTTCCATCCAAAGCAAAGTTTAGAATTCCTCAAAAAAATGAAAAAGCATATAAAAATACCTTTTTTATATGTTCAAGTTTAGAATAATAATTAGACACTCGTCTGATTTTTCAGCTAGACTGCAGACTTAGTACGGTGCATAGTGTACCAAGTTCATTTTAATATAATTTCCCTATAACTAGATGCTGCTGGCATTTTCAGATACGCACTATAAAGTCAATAAGAAAATCAACATTTGCTTGAGATTGCTTTTATTCGGAGATGGACCAACTAGTGTATATTGTAAGGATTACTTATTTGTGGAAAAATTAATTATAAGGGCGTAAGTTATAGCGATTTGTCGGTTGCTAGTTGAAGTTTATTTTCCCAGATGTAAATGTTTTCTATTAATTCCGGTATCAACATGTCTTCGAGCATACGAACTACTAATTGCATGTGGAAACGAGCAGCTCTATTTTTAACAATCCATACGTATAATAGCAAAACTTCAGACTTCTTTATTTTACCACAATGCTTCATTGCTTGTAAACAATATTTAATATTTTTCTATACTACTTCTTACCTCTGAGGCAATTTGGAGTAAGAAGGGTTTCTTCATCTAAGTGAACAATCCAATCATTATCTGAGAGCATGTTATTTTTTTCCTCCAAGCAGTACTGCAACGCTCTCGCCTAGGAAGATATGTTGTGCACATTTAAACCAGTTCATGGTTGAATATTTAGACATCGAAACAAGTCCAAAGGTTTTGAGAATAAAGATTTATTTCTTCACGATTTACACGATTTCCTTACAAATTTACAAGTTTTTGAAATCACTATATACAGGGTGATTCAAAATTGGGGTCATTCCTTTAAAGGAGTAATAAGAAAGTGTAGTTTTTACTATCAGAATACAAGAAATATATAATTTTTTTTCCAAAATTTCTAGAAGATGTTAACAGCTGAAAATCGAATGTCAACTTTGTTATTAAGCATTATTTTGAAATTTCCCATGTTTAATTGGTAGCATATTGGAAATCGCATTCGAAAAGAAAAATATCGATCTTTGCTTCAAATTACGACAAACCTACAGCAATTTTTGGTTTTTTAAATAATTGTATTACTTGTTTATCGTTAATACAGTTTTTTTGTACGAAAAATGTCTGTTGGATTTTAAATGCATTTTAACTCGCTGGTCCTTGTTAGCATCAATAATAAGTAATTTCATTGTTTGACCAAGTAGGACCTACTTAGTAGGTATATATTAAATGAGTTCAAAAATCAGTAAAAAATGACCAAATAAGTTTTTATTGAAAAATATAACAAACCTCTTTAAAATTAATTTAATAGTTATGTAAAAGAAATATCAAATTATGAACCAAACAACCGCATGAATTAAAAGTGAATTTAAAAAAAGTATATTTTTGATAATTCTGATTTAATTTTCGGTTCGGCTTAAAAGTGCATTTGCCATTTCCATAAAATGATATTTTGGACTTGGTCAGTTTTAAATTTAATCGCACAATATTCTTTTAAATGTATGATACTTCAATATGACCAGCTAGCAAACATTAATAGCGTTTTTCCGGTCACTAGAAATGTGTGGGATGAGTCTATTTCGATACGTAGAGACTTTCACTCGCGATAGAGCAGTTATTTTAAATTTGCTGTTTTTGTTAATTTTTCTGAAAACTTGATATTGTTTGTACTAGTTTCGGAAGGGATTACATTTTCCGGCGGTCAATCCAAGCGAAACAGAACGTGACTGAATGTGGTCAAGTTAATGAACAATAAGAGCAAGTAAACGGTAATAGTAAATTACCTTATACATAGCTCCAGAAGAAGTGTTGTACTCTTCGGGAACAACCAACTCTCTTATTCTTGGATTACATGGTAGATTCAACGGCTGATCGGAAACCACTTCTAGAAATATATCAAAGAATATGGTCACCATACAAAAATTTTTTTTTCAAAGATTGAAGTTTTACTATTACATTTAAATGTTTTTATTCTAATTGGTTTTCGCATAATTAACACCGAGGATATCAGCGAAGGATTTCAAATCGTTAAACTAATACCTATGGTAGATTCAGATAAAGTACTGACTATTTGTCGGGTCTGCAGACTGCGATACTGAAAGGTCACAAAAATGTGTGCTAAAGTAGTAATGAGTAGCTTTCCTGATCTAGAATTGTATCGTAAATACAGGAATTTGAAAAATTTTGATACTAATTAAAACTTTTCCTACCAAGTTGACCAATAATATCCAGTATGTTTTAGACCTGGGAAACACTGTGTTGATTTGCGCTACTGAGTTATTCCCGCTGTCTGAGTTAACGAGTACTATACTTAACTCATCGGATAAAGAGTTATGCCATTTATTAAAGCTTTACGAGACCCGAGACTGGAATTTTCACATCTAAAAACAGTCATCAACATTTTTTCTGAGTAACGTTTTACTACTTTGTTCAAACAACTAAAAAAAGTTACCTAAATTTTCCCAGCAACAAAACTCAGTCCAGAGAAAATCGACGAGTTTTCTTGTAAAATCGATCTCGATAAAGATTTTTCCCAATAAATGATTATCAACTTTCGCTTTTTCAGTTCGGCGAAATAATTTTGGGAAAAGACCCAGAAATATAATTAGGGTTTTGTGTGATAGTTCGAAGCTGCAAAAAATTTTCCAAACATTTTTGTAAATGGCAGAAAATACCTGGAAATTGTCAGTATTTTAAAAATAGGTTAATAGAAACTTTTTAAAGCTAGAATGACCTGAAAATTTAAAGGAACTTTAAATAATTAACTTTAAAATATATTTTTTTAACTTGCTTTTTCGGTAAAAAACTGAATAAAATTATTTGATTTTTGTGACAAATTCGAAGATGAAATGAGTTTTCTAAAGTTCGCTGCAAACCGATGAATGCGGCCAATTTTGTAGCAAAATTAATTTTGTCATTTTTGGTTGAAAAGACCCCATTATTGTCAGAAAGGAAGAAAATCATCAGAAAATAATTGTTTTTCTGCGTTTTCAATTAAAAGCTTTTACTTTTGTGATCGGTTTTAGAGAAAACTTTACTGGTTTTCGAACAAAACGGGAGGAATTTATTTTTGTTTTTGTACCGAATTCGACGCAGAAAAAAGTGTTTGTACAATTTTTACAAAGCTATAAATTTATCCTGTAATTTTTCGAATAACAGGCCTCCAGATCGTCAGTTTTAAGTAAAACTCTACAAAATAGAGCGCTTTTGAATAAAAAGTAAAGCAAAAAAACACATCATAAAATCTCTAAGTCTTCAGAGGAATGGAGGTGCCGAGATTTCCAAATAATCTCTTCCAAACTTTCGCTTGTTCTGTTCGTTTTTCGATAGAAAATTATTTTATTTTTGTTCCAAATTCGACGCTGGAAAAGCATTTCAACACTTTTTACAAAGCGACAAAGGATTTGAAATTTATTTCATAATTTTTCTCGGAAAATAAGTACATTAAGATTGTCAACATTTTTGAGTGAAACTTTAGAAACTTGAGCATTTAGAAGAAAGAGGAACTTGGCTAAAACTGAAAAAATCTGAAATTTTTAAGAAACTTTTAAAATGTTATTAATAAATGGCCTTTACAATAAATCTAAAAACAAGTAAGAAAGTCATCAACATATCCCCGACAACGAAACTGAGTTACTGCGCCGGTGCATTGGGTTGGAGCACCAAGTCATTTGCGTAGCACTGCGCGAACTCCTAAAAATTCACTGAGTTACCCAAGCCTAGTATGCTTCTCATTTTGATTGACTCTTATGAGCAATCAAATGTGTGTGCCTGCAGATAAAGCAATAGTTGCACCATGGAGATAAACAACAAATATTGAAAGACGAGGTCTGAAGATTGACGAGGATACGATTATCTTCATTATAATTTTGGCCACGACAAAATTAATTTGTCATTTGTTTTGCGCAAATTAGCCAATTTATAAATATACAGTAAACCATTTTAATTACCAATCTATTCTTTAATAGAAACTATTTTCAATTAACAACTAGCATTGTAAATATTAGCTTACTAGATACAATAACACATAATTTGGACGCATTTCTTCCACTTATTTTACAAGCGTTAACGGTTTGCATCCACTTGTATCTCTTTATCAATCATAGTATATTTATATGATTATCTTATAATAGGCATGATCGCAAATCTTGTGAGGGAATAATGAGAATAAGAACCAAGTTTTATATTGAACTGTATCCATGAGTGGTTGCAACAAATATTTTGCTTTACTTAATTACTTTGATTTGTTAATTTGAGTAAGCCGTTAAACTTCGAACTTTCGAAAAACTAGGAGTTGCTATTAGGAATAGAATTAAACCAGATGACAAGAAGTTGTAAATAATTTGATAATATACTTTGACCACCGCGGTAATAATCATTATTCCATTACATTATATTACTCCCATGAGATTAATGCGCGGCACTTTTTCTCCTTAAACACACAATAAAATTGATTAACAGAACCATATATGTAATACTACAGAACTAAAGCCGACTATAAATAATCAATTATCTAAATCGGCGTAAATTTGGAGGAGTTAGAGTTTAAAACAACTTATTAATAATTATTGCTAAAGGTAGCGTTTTTAAAATGATATGGTTATCAGAAATTACCTAAAACAAATAACCAGTTAATTCTTCCTTACATGAATAGTGAAATGTGACACATATTAAAACTATTTTTTTTACGAGAATTGAGGGTATTCAGGTTAATTATCTCAATTACACTTACAACAGCTTATTTCAAGAAGAAATATGATTTTGACGATTATCTGAGTAAATGATAGGCTTCATTTGCGTAATAAAATGGGGCGCGTGTTAAAATCCATTGTAAATACTGCTTCAAACGTTACGTAATACAAAATACAAACTAATCCCCTAATGATTAAAATAAACTTCCGAGCCGCCCAAGGCTCAAACCGTGCTTGTCGACTCTCCGAAGCAAATATGATTCAATCTTTAATCCTACTAAATGTTGCATTAGCTTTTGTGTAGGTAGTCATTTTTGGATATGAGACATAGTTGAAAATGAACACAATTTTCGTCATGCGCTTAAGTGGACCCTGAATTTAGTTTTTAAGGTAATTTTGTTTAATTCCTAATATTTATTTCGGGAATTCGGATATCCACGTATTCAAACTTTACACGAAATTTAAGGTGAATCACATTTTCAGCTATTTGGGACAATTTTAGTAGTTTACCAATAACGAAATTTATATCCATTAAAAGTATTATGAAAACCCGCTAAACCATTTTTTGTTTCAGTAACGTATATGTAAATCCCGAAACGTTTCAGTTATCTGCATTATATGTTTTCGAAATGCTTATGTAACTGAAAATATCGGCTCTCAGGAACGTTTTATTGAAACATTGAAGAAAATGTTACTGGAATGTTGCGCTAAACGTTATCTAAACAATAGAAATAAATATTTCGTAACATTTTACATGGTGTATCTTTTAAGAGTGCAAATATTTTAAGTGGTGGTACATTTTGGCCCTAGAAGCAGAACTATAGGATTGCCCTGCTTCGAGAACAAAAGTATACCTACCACCAGTTAAAATATTTGTTCGATAGCTGTATCGAAATATAGAAGTAAACGTCTAATGTCGTTCGAAAAGTCGAACCTGTACAAAAAAAAATCTGTGGTATCGAAAACGACTGTTATAAACGTCGAATAACGATGGTCTATTCGGCAGCTGAATAGTGTCTTTAACATCTCTTGTTGGTTCACAGTGGTTTTCACAGTTCACAGGTACTAGAGATTTATTCTATTCGACCGACTTTTCAACCAGGTTCTTAAGAACCTGTAGGCGATCATTAGTTCCGAGCCAGCCTGTTCTCTCGGTTGATCGGTGTCCAGTCTGGCATTTAACATTGTGATAGGTAATTATTTTGGTCAAGTACTTATATATTTAGGAAAGCAGTCTTATCAGGAGATTATTTTTTATGAATAATAATAATATTCGGTGTTCCACTTGTGTGATCGAGGATATGCCATTAAAGCTTACAGGTTACTTTCGTAATTCGTCTTGAATTTGAAAGCCACTATTACCTATATATATTGAGCGCTACCCTTTTTTATATGGAAATAAAATATGTTACAGACTTCGCATTGATACCATGATATCAAAATAGAATGATTAGTAATGTGTTCTTGGATATGTCTGTTATAACCAAATTGAGTATTTTACTAAGGTGCCTTCATACGTATAGAATTTCATTTACTAATTTAACCAAACATAAAAATTACCTTTTTGCAATCCTACCTATATAGAAGTTTTCCAGTCCAGTGTCCAAACAAGTCTTCATATTTCGAGCAACATTATCTTTTACAAGTTGTGGATAGTCACCTCTTGTTACCACTCTTACGCAGATTAGAGGCGATAATAGTGGCGAACTCCTTAAAACAACTTTGCCTAAAACATGGAATTTGTGCACTTGTAACATGAGAGTCATAA